GCTTTTTTCCTCCTGGGCTATCTGAGGCTCCGCTGCTATCATGAATGACACAGAACTATCCAAACCCGGAATTCATGACCAACCGACTTCTTCAAAGGAAACAAATGGTGATTGATGTCCTTCACCCTGGGAAAGCAACAGTACCTAAGACAGAAATTCAGGAAAAACTCGCCAAAATGTACAAGACCACACCAGATGTCATTTTTGTGTTTGGATTCAGAACCCATTTTGGTGGTGGCAAGACAACTGGCTTTGGCATGATTTATGATTCCATGGATTATGCGAAGAAAAATGAGCCCAAACATAGACTTGCAAGACACGGCCTGTATGAGAATAAAAAGACCTCAAGAAAGCAGTGGAAGGAACGCAAAAACAGAATGAAGAAAGTCAGGGGCACCGCAAAGGCTAACGTTGGTGCTGGCAAAAAGCCGAAGGAGTAGAGATTCTGCAGTGCCTGTCTGCAGTGACTGCGACTTTTTTCATGAGAAACTGTAAAACGAGAAACTGTAAAACATTAAAAAAAAAAAAAACCCCAAAAACCCAAAACCATACTATGAATACTACTTTTTTAAAAATGAATACTACTTTTAACCTGATTTTTTTCATTTAACAAGTAGTAGAAAGATGGACAGAGCCCAAATCTATACTACCTGCAGCTGTTTAAGTCAACCACTAAGCATTTTTAAGGCTCAGCTACTGTATCTGTAAAACAAAGCAAATAATAGCAAATGAGGATTGATGCTTCTTTACAACTATAGTAGAGTGTGGTGAATTTAAAATGTATAGAACCAATGTAGGAAAATGAAGGAATGAAATATACAGACAAATCCTAAACCCAAGACAGTCTCCCAAGAACACCATCAGATGATAACATACAACTCACACCATATCCCCAGGAGAAGTCCGAACTGCCTTCTGTAGAGATCCCTGTGCCTGTATAACTTGGAAAAGCAGACCTTGAATTCCCAGTGTCAGCTGATGTAAAAGGTGATTCTTGGGTGATGTCAGATTCACTGCATGCAGAATTTGGGAAGATGAAAGAAAAAAAATTCTCTTATTTCCTCAGGTTTTTGCAGTATTAACTCAGCAGCTTAGCAGATGATAAGCAGGTGTACAAATACATCCACACAGACAAAAATAAATGAAAAACTTGAAATTAAACCATCTTACAAAAGTCTTACCTAGGGGCTGGGGAGATGGCTCAGTAGAATAAGCACTTGCCTGGCAAGCACAAGAGCCTGAGTTCAATCCCCGGTTCCGGGGGAACAAAAAACCTGTATCAAAAGTCTTACCTAAGTTTTGTAGAATTGATGGCATTCATTCCAAACAATTCTAGTCATAGTTTATGATGAATATTTTAATATTTTACCTATAATCTTGACAATTAAAAATATTTCAGAGCTGGGTATGATGGTGCATGCCAGTAATCCCAGAACTTTGCGAAGCTGAGGCAGGAGGGTCATAAGTTTAAGCCAACCTGAGCAACTTAGTAAAACACATCTCAAAATAAGAAAATCATAAAAGGGCTGGGAAAGTATCCTAATATAAGGCCCTAGGTTCAATTCCCAGTACTAGGAGGAAAAATAACATATTTCATAAATGTTAATAGTAAATGAACTTGTATGGTACTTTTCCAGTTTACTAAATACTTTTACACATATTAATCACATTTTATTCTTAATTCCACCTAGAGAGATGTACAGCTCAGTTAACTCCATTTAAAAAAACAGAATCTGACTTTAGTTCAGTTTACTTAGTATGTTTTAAAACTAGATTCTATTTTTCTATGATGACACCATGCTTCTCAGAACCCTCTTTGAAGTTTATAGCCTTTTCTATGCTATTTCTTACAATAATAACTGTAGTTAATATTTACTCAGTACTTACTATATGTCAAACCAGATATTACATACATATTTTATCTCATTTATATCCACAACACCCTAAAAAAGTACATTATAAAGTAATACATTTCCCAATGTTATCCAGCTAATTAATGTCAGTACTAGGATTAAAAATCCTAGAACTCTTCCTGGGTCCATATTCTTAACTACTTCACAGTAATGCTTCTCAAAGCTTAGGAAATAAGTATGATATTGTTGCTATTAGCTGTTTCAGAGTGAAAAACTGAATAGTAGCGAAAACTTATTTATTCACTGATTTTTGAGATGAGGTCTCATTTTGTTGTTCAGGTTGGCTTAGAACTCAAGCAATCCTCTTGTCTCAGCCTCCTGAGATGATGAAATTCTTGTTTTATTTCATCAGCATAGGCTTGATTTTTTTTTAAAAAAAAACTTTGTCATTAGCATGTACAAGCAAACAAGTAGACTTTGAGTTATTACCTTTGGGAACTTGTGTCTTTTTCATGACTGTCGCTAGCAGAAGACGTTTCATCTAGTTGCTCTGGAAGGGGATGATGATTAAGAGCTTGTTTTGTTATTCCTTTCCTGTGAAAAATAAAGTTACATTTCCTGTAAGGAGGTGATAAAATACTTTTTAGTAACTTGGGGTAGACATTAGTCACTGTGGAATAGTGCTGTCCACTGGGGTAGCCACTAGCCACTAGCTGTTAAAATGTGTACCATTAAGTACAGACTGTTTTCAGTGTTTAATACTTTGGGTTTCAAAGTTTTAGAACATTCTCAATAAAATTAATTTAAAAAATTTAAAAAATTTTTTAAAAACCCCACAAAGTTTTAGAACAAGAAGAATGTTCAATATCTCATCAATATGATTATCTTGATTACTGGGGATCGAACTCAGGACCTTGCACTTTTCAGGCAGGTGCTTATGCTGCTCAGCCATCTCCCCAGCTCAACAAAATATATTATTAAAATTAATTTCAATGCAAATAGAAAATATAGTAAGATATTACCACATCTCCATTGGAACTGCTAAAATAAAAAATTGAAGGAACACCATGTACAGGCAAAGATGTAGAGTAATCTGGATGTCTCCTGAACTGTTGGTGAGAATGCCAAATAATATAGCTACTCTGAAATAGTTTGACAATTTCTTTTTTTTTTTTTTAACATTTATTT